CTAACCCAGTGGCTCCAAACTCTGTGTGATTTTCCAAGCCTCCTCCCCTCTGGGATCTGCCTCTGTCAATTACTATCTTTGTCTTTCACATGTTCGAGGCTTCCTTTCTCCCTGGGCCCTCCTTCCGTGTGCTAGCATGGCCTTCTTTAGCAAAACAAAATCCACCAACCCGAATCTGTTCTCTCTACTTTCCAGCCTTCCCCTGTGGGAGCCAGCCCTCCTCCCGTAACATCTACAGAGTGAGCAGGCTTCTCCCAGGCTCCACACCTGCCAGCTATTCTAGTCTAAGTCTTTCCAGACTAAGTTCAGCTCCTCGTGCTCTTAGCTGTGGCCCCAGACAGCCTTACACTGGCTCTCCAAGGCTGCTTCCGACTTATCTTCTCCCCCTGCCCCTTGATGTCATGGGACCATATCTCTGACCTACTTTCCTATCTCCTTACACTCATCCTGTCTCAGAGAGACTCGTGTATGTCATCCTGTGTCTCAGCAGCGTGACATACCATCTGCTTTCTAGTTAGAAGGACAATAGAGTGATTCGTCTTCATTCTCTCAGAGTCCAGAGCTCAAAGTAGGAAGTGGAGAGCCTCATGTTGAGGCTTCTGGGAAAGCCAGTGGGAGAAGTTTTCAGGGTCAGTGTGATTGTGGGGCCACTGGCTCGGAACAAAGAGGTGCAGAGGGGAAGGCATTCCAGAGCCTCCACCGGGTTTCTGTTGGCTGGCAAGTGCAGCCAGCTGGTCTGGGGTCCATGCAAACCACAGGCCCCTGGAGTGAGAGCATGGTCAAGCAAAGGCTACCAGCGTAGCTCTCTAGACAAAGACGCCAGCGCAGGAGAGGCAGAGAAAATTCTTTCTCCTGAACCACTCTCCTGTTTCTAAGAAGGCTCTTCACTTCAGTCTGCTTTGACACTGGAGTTGTCCTGGAGCACACGGGTGCAGGTCTTAAGAGGGGTGGGGGTGCTGAGGAGGAGGCTCTGACGTGGACTCCAAATTTGCTCTCTTGTTCAGGAAGGTAGACAGTGGCGGGTGTGTGTGAAGGAAGAGATCCGCTCTGAAGTGAGGGCCCTAGAAACAGGATCTGTAAAGGAAGCAATTAAGAGCACCACCCAAGCCTTGGCGCTGGTTTTTCTGGTTTATGGTGTTAATCTTGCTGGCTGTCCGTTCACTCATCCGTTCTTTGTATTTTATATTCTGCCTTCAGCACACCCTTTTAACCGCTGGCACACACTCACATGACCAGGTGAGTTTCCACTCACATGACCGTCTGCGCCTCCCTATCTAACTGCAGAATTAGGGCAGGATCTGATGTAAAGCACTCCCCCAGAAGCTAAGCTCGGTGGGTAGCCCACGCCTGTACCCCAGAATTTGGAAGCTGAGGCAGTAGGATCCCTGAGGCACGGGTTCCAGGCTAGCCTGGTCAGCATAGTATATCCCAGGAACATGACTTATGGGTAAAAGTGCTCGCTATACAACTAGGACGTGAGTTCAAATCTGTAGAACTGACGTAAGAAACCACATGCAGCAGGGTGAGCATTTGAATCCCACATCTCCTGCGAGGACATGGGAGGTGGGAACAAGAGAATCTCCAAAATCCCATGGACAAGCTAGCCTGGCATTCACAGAACAGCAAAGAGACCCTGTCTCAGACAAGGTAGTTGTCTTCTGAACTCCTCATGAATGTGTCTGAACACACACACACACACACACACACACACACACACACACACACACTCAACTTGATCATAGGTCCATGGAGTGAATGCATACAATTCACAACCTTCCGTGGTTTCCAACCCCACCAGAGTCTTGGAACGTGTCTCCTGTGGATACAGGGAACACTTCATCTCTGTTGCCAGCTTCCATGCCTTGGACAGTCTGTTTCTTCTGATAACAGCACACTCTTCTTGTGGGGCCATGAAGTGAATGTAGTGCTGCCTGGATCCAGACGCACTGGGTCTGTCCTAATTGGTTTATTACTCCTAGTCACTGACTATAGGGAGTCTTCCCATCAGCACATTAGGATTAAGGAAGGTGTCTAGACAGCCATTTGGACTTCCACTATTTCATTCCTATATGAGGCAGCCCAGGGGCTGCTCCCCAGGGTTTAAAGCCTGTCACCAGAAACTGCCCCAACTGGCTATGCTGACTTCTCTCTCTCTCTCCCTTGCAAACTCTTCACCTTTCACCCTTGTGAGCCCTCAACACAAACCAGAAAAAGAAAGTCCCTGTAACCTTCAATTTGCAAACCACGTGGCTTGTTCTAATCACACTGCCTCGGGGCTGTCTCTTGTATCATAGTTTTCAGCTCCTCTGCAGTTATGAAGTGTCCTTATTTCTTATGTCTTTGATTAAGATGTATTTCTTAAGCTGGGTGTTGGTGGTGCACACCTTTTAATCCCAGCACTCGGGAGGCAGAAGGAGGTGGATCTCTGTGTGTTCGAGGCCAGCCTGGTCTACAGAGCAAGTTCCAGGACAGCCTCCAAAACAATATAGAGAAACCCTGTCTCGAAAAACCAAAAAAAGTGTATTTCTTTGGAAGCAGGAACTGTTTTCCTCCACCACCAACTGGCATGGCTGTTGAAAGACATTTATTAAACCAGAGTGATGACACAAATCTGTAATCCCAGCACTTGGGAGGCAGAGGCAAGAGGATCAGAAATTCAAGAGGATCAGAAATTCAGGTTGGGCTGGAGAGATAGTTAAGAGCATACATTGGTCTTGCAGAGAGCCTGAGTTCGATTTCCAGCACCCACATCAGGTAGTTCATAACTGCTTATAACTCAGCTCTGGGGGAATCCAATACCACCTTCTGCAGATACCTTCATTCACAAGCACAAACCCACACTCAGACAGACACAGACACACAATTTAAAAAACAAGAAAGTCAAGGTCATCCTTGGCTACATAGTGAGTTTGAAGCCAGCTTGCAATACTTTAGACTCTAGGCTGAGTGGTGGGGTGAGAGCTTAGTTGGTAGAGGGCCTACCTAGTATGCATGAAACCCTGGCTTGGATCCTCAGCACCTTATACTGTGGGCACGGTGGCGCATGCCGGCAATCCCACCCAGCACTTGGAAAATGGAGGCAAGAGGATCGGGAGTTCAAGGCCAACCTGGAGTGAATAAGACATAGTCCCCTCCCCCCACCAAGTTAATTTGATAGTTTCAGAATAGAGTTCTTTCTTTCTGCCTTCCTTTGGAATAATGACAGCCTGCTAGAGAAAGCACAGCCCTACCCCCCCCACACACACACACACGCTGTTGTCTGGCTTCTGCCAAGCCAAATGTAAGCAAAAAGACTCTTCTAACCACAACTGGTCTGTCACTTCACCTTCAGGGCTTACCTCCACTGCCATTTCTTCTACAAAGCTTCCCCAGTCCCTGACTTAGAAGCTGGGCTGGCAAGATGGCACACTGGGTAAAGGTGCTTGCTGCTGAGCCTGATGGAAGAAAGAAAAAAGAAATTCCTGTCCGCCTACAGGAACTCCGCAGCTTATACACAGGCAGGCAGGCAGACAGATAGACACACAGACAGACAGACAGACAGACAGACAGACAGACAGACAGACACACACACACACACACACACACACACACACAATAAATGTCCTAAGAAAGCACCACAGTATTGCCCTCTGCACAGTGAGATACTCCAGGGAGGTGGCACTGGGTATGAGATGTATGAATTCATTTTTTGATTTGTTGATTTTTACCAAGTTGCTATAGGAGATCAAAATACGTCACCCCCAAATAACACCTGTTTGGCACAAAAACTACTTTGAGATTATTGCTTTTAAAAACACATGCAAGAAGGGCTCCGAAAATGAGGTGTTAAGGAAAGTTTAATCTACAGAAGAGGTCTCCATTTGCAAGGTGCCCTCCTTTCCGTACCGTGAAGAGAAAGATAACTCCAAATTTCTACAGACGCTTAGCTAGGCAGGGGCAGGGCTCTCTACCAACTTGCCCCATGGCCTTCCTCTCCCATTATTGAAAGATGGTATTTAAACTGAAATCCAAAGCTATCCCTTTAAGGTTTACCCATATCTGGCTATCTCCCATGTGTACACTAGGTGTTTGTGTTATTAATTCTGGTTCTTTTTCTCTGGTTGACTGATTTTTTGTTATTAGGGACCCCATGTGACTAAAACCAAACCAGGATAGAGAGAAAATTCTTTCTCTTCCCCTATGTTAAATCATCCATGCCTGATTTTCTAATATCGTGGGGGGGGGTATTGCTCACACCATAGTTGAAAAAGCTGGTACATGCAGAGCCTGAGAAGCTGCAGAAACATGGGGAGTGCTAAGAGCATCCAAGTCACTCTTCGCTAGTGACTCACAGAGCTCGCAAGCTCAGTACATTCTGCCTCGAGTACGTTTCAAAAACCAGACAGGGTGGCTCATGTCTGTAATTCCAGCACTAAGCAGACTGAAGCAGGAGGGTTGCAGCAAATCGGAGGTCAGCTGAGGCTACGGAATGAGACGCTGTCTCAAAAAAGATTAAAACAAACAAACAAAAATAAAACCCGAAGTCAGGCATTTTGCTCATGGTATATGAAATCTTTTAAAACCACCTGCCCTGGCACTCGGGGTCAGTCAACTGGGACCCTAGGGGAGGGAGTAAGAATGGGGGGACAAAAGATGGGAGAGATGGGAACAAGACAGTGTTCTGATCAAGTCTCGTGTATTGAAAGTACCAACAGGGCTTAATTAAGTAGGGCAGGTAACAGAAGGGCGGGGGAGCAGAAGTTCTCCTTGGCAGGGTATGTTCCAAGGACACAAGTCTGCAGCTGGGGGAGTCTGGACTGCAGGCCAGGAGGCAGAAGGGTGGGAGAGCCTGGACTGCAGGCCTTGAAAGTATGCTGTGCAGGAAGATAAGCAGACACAGAGACATAGGAACTTAACTGTTAGTCTCTAAGAATGCAGTAGGAATAGTAAGATGGCTTCTATTATGCTATCCTTGTTTGGGGCCCTCCACACCACCAACTCTGTGACTCTTGCGTTCCCAGGCATCTGTTTGGTCTGTGCTGTGACATTTGGTTAGCACTCACCTTGTGCTAAAGCTCCAGGATCTTCACTTCAGACATCATCTTGGGTGTGTTTATCTTCTGGGTGGAGGTCAAAGTCACCTCGTAATCCAGTTTGCCCAGCCTCCTGGAGTTCACAAGGATGGTGCTACATGCATGGCAGTTACCACCTGCAGGCTGTGTGACCTTGGACAAGCCAGTTCCCCAAAGGTGAGCTGTTCCCTCGTTTTCACTTGTGCTGGCCTGGCTATGTGGCTTCCCAGTGCCATTCTGCATCCTTTGTCTTCGGTGTGGCAAGAGCGGGCTGGGTTCCAGGTTAGAGCTCACCTGGGCATGGTGGCGCATTGCTCGATCCCAGCGCTTGGGAAGCAGAAGCAGATGGATCTCTGTGAGTTCAAGGTCAGCCAGCTCTACACAGTGAGTTCCATGACAGCCTGGGCCAAAACCCAAAAACAGCCAACAAAACAAAGCCAAAAAAAACCAAATGAACAAAATAAGTATAGGCAGGAAATTTGCCTGTTAGAGGCACCTGCAACTTTGTCACAGCTCAGACACTTTCACACACACACACACACACACACACACACACACACACACACACACGTGTTCCATAAACCTCAAAGTATCTACCTTCCTTTCTTTAGAATCTATTGTCATTGAATGCATTAGGGAATCACTATTTCTCCTCCACACTATAGCTGCTTATATTTGGGTAACTGTGTTTCAATGTAATTGTCCTTACTTAGAGTTCCTTGTGCTTATTTTATGCCTTAAAAGCTGGAAGATCCGAGTTCACAGCACACAGACCGTTAATCGCCAAGAGCGGAAGCTGCCTGAGGGGAGGCTCTGAAAACAGGAGGCGGATCAAGTTCCGCACCCACATCCTCTGTAGAAGACACAGGCCTTTTGTTTCTCATCTCTGCTGCCCTTTGGATTTGATCAAGAGCCAACTTGGAAAACAGTGAAGCTGTGGAAGAGGAAGGCTGAGGGGCCACGGCCGCCGCCGTCTCCCCCTAACACCAAGCGTGAGGAGTGTAAGACCCTCCCTCTGAGGCCTGGACCAGGAAGCACTGATCCCTGTGGTGTTCTCCAACCTCAGAGCCTTCTGTCTCCTGTGGAGAGCTGCCCTTCAAATGGTTCAGATGCGTTTTGGCAGTCCTTGATGGCATGGCCCTACAGAGGCGCTATCAGGGTGAGCCCGCCAAGCGTCCCCCTCCCACCTGAGCATCCCAGGCAGATCCCTGTGTCATTAAGAAGGATCTGTGGGGACCGAAAAGATGGCTCAGTGGGTGTGAGTGCCAGCTGCACAGCATTAAGACTCGAGTTCCAATCCCCAGCACCTACGTAAGAAAGTTACGTGTGGCTGCATCCTGTTGGCCTGTAATCCCAGTGCTGGGTAGAGACCAGTGTATTGTTGGGACTTGTTGGCCTAGCTCCAGAGTCAGGGGGAAACCCTATCTCAAGGAAATAAAGCCGAGAGTGACAGACTAGAGTACGAATATCTTCCTCTAGTTTCAAGGACAAAGCCAACCCTCCGCAGGTACGTATGTCCACACACAAATGCCACAAACACACACACAGCAAAAAAGAAAGCTCTTGTGAAGTAGGTGTGGCCACTACTGCCTATAATCTCAGGATTTAGAGAGGCAGAGGAGGGTCAGCCCTTCAGGGTCATCCTAAGCTACGTTGCAAGCTGGAGGCTAGCCTGATCTGGTGCGTGTGAGTCTGTACTCGGCAACAAAAGGCCATTGTGGAGTCTAGCCACGTGTCAAGAACATGCTAACTCTTAGGACAGCCCCGTGTCTTCCAGTGGGTCAGAGTGACAGGAGGATGGACCAGATGCAGAGGCTTTGAGCTGGCTGGCTTGATTCATCCCTGGGGTGACAGGGAAAGACTTAGCCCAAGAGCTCTGTTGCCAGGTTTCCTGCATCAGATACCTTTGCCTAGGAACCCCAAGATGATCTGAAGGAGAAGCAGAGGTTGTAGGGAGACTGCACTGTGAACAGAATCCCCTGGGTTTCTTATTTGGTGAAGCTGATATTTACATAGGGTCAAGTAAAGAGGAAGTATAAGCCTGTTCCCCTCCAGAATCTAGTGTCGTAAAAGAACAAAAACCCATTGACTTGCTGAAAGGCAAACATGATATTACTGGTGGAGGAGTTAAAGATGTCACACCAGTGACGGTGGGCAGGAATACCCCCCACCAGTGACGGTGGACAGGAATATCCCCACACCCATGACAGGGGGCAGGAATGTCCCACACCAGTGACAGTGGGCAGGAATACCCCACACCAGTGACGGTGGGCAGGAATACCCCACACCAGTGACGGTGGGCAGGAATACCCCACACCAGTGACGGTGGGCAGGAATACCCCACACCAGTGACGGTGGACAGAAATACCCCCCACCTGTGACGGTGGGCAGGAATACCCCACACCAGTGACAGCGGGCAGGAATACCCCACACCAGTGACAGTGAACAGGAATACCCCACACCCATGACAGGGGCAGGAATACCCCACACCTGTGACAGGGGCAGGAATACCCCACACCTGTGACAGCAGGCAGGAATACCCCACATCAGTGACAGCAGGCAGGAATACCCCCACACCTGTGACAGCGGGCAGGAATACCCCCTCACCCATGACAGGGGGGCAGGAATACCCCCTCACCCATGACAGGGGGGCAGGAATACCCCACACCTGTGACAGTGGGCAGGAATACCCCACACCAGTGACAGTGAACAGGAATACCCCCTCACCCATGACAGGGGGGCAGGAATACCCCACACCTGTGACAGTCGGCAGGAATACCCCCCACCAGTGACAGCAGGCAGGAATACCCCACATCAGTGACAGCAGGCAGGAATACCCCACACCTGTGACAGTGAACAGGAATACCCCCACACCTGTGACAGCGGGCAGGAATACTGAACTCAGTTTTTACAAGAGGAAAGCAAGGTTCACTGAAGTCAAGGAATTTATTTCTTCACATTGATTTTTGTGAGTTGAAGTTCCCTTGTTTTTGGCTTGAGTGTGTCACACATTGGCACGGAGAGCCAAGGACAGCAAGACTTTCTCCTGTGTTCAGGCTTTTCCTTAGGGGAGAAGACTTAGAGGCCATGACCCTAGGTCTGTGTGGGGCTGAAGTCTGAGGAGGAGGGGAGTGGAAAGCTGGTCCCATGATAGTATTAGTCCATTTATTTCTAAAATGCTATCACACTTTTTTCTGACTCTAAAAATAAAACATGATTAGTGAAAAATTCAAACTTTAAAAACATCTGAAGGCTGAACGTGGAGGCATGTTCCTACAGCATCCTGGTACTTGGGAGGGGGAGACAAGAGGATTGCCAAGCTGGAGGTCAGTCTGGTCTGGTCTACCTACAGTCTCCTGCCTGCAGGGTTTGCAGGCAGCCCCAGCACGGGGGATCTTGCAGCTTTTGGAGCTTCCTGAACTTAGTAAGCTTTACAGCAGTCCAAGCCCTGAGCTTCTGTAGCCGCCTCTGTTTTATGAGCTTACCCAAGGATGGAACGGTGTAGCTCCCCAGGCAACAGCTCCATAGCGCTGGCCCAGTGGCCCCTCTGCCAGTCAGCCTCGGCTGTCTGCCAGCCCATCCGATCCTGTTGTTTCACAGGTGGGACAGGGCTGCCAGCAGGTCTGGTTTCGTATACTTTGGCACATCCTGCAAATGTGGCCCAGCCCCTTCCTTGGGGCATAGGGGAGCCAAGTACCTATTAGGCAGCCTCAGACTTGAGGGTTCAGCGGGAAGGGAGGGCTCAGGCATGCAAGTCCAGCCACATACAAACGAGCCATTCCTCATGCTTGGATTTCTCTGCTTCAGCCGCTCATTCTTAAAAAACTCTGTCACCTCGTCCTCCTTCAGTTATCTAACCAGTCCCTGAACAGGTTCCCCATCCCCATTTGTCACCCTGGGAGTAACTTGCCGCTGCACAGTTCAGCGTACGCCTCAGGGCTATGAGAGCTTCGTGTTTACTTAATGGTTTTGGTGAAAGGAACAATGCAGCAATTGTTAATCGATGAATTCAAGGGGGAAATCAGGTGGTTTAGGTCTTTGGTGCCAGACCCCCAGGCCACACTCTGATGGTTCTCGTGTTTCAGATGGGGTTCTTATCTTGCCCTCTTCAAGAATGAAGTCGGTAAAGAGTTAAGGGTGAAAAATCCAGGAGGATCTCATTGACAGGAGAGGACAATTGGAACAGGCAAACAAGGTCGACATGTGGAGTAGCTGCAGGAGCGGAAGAGTAGAAGCCCTGAGCTCTTGGAAGCCATGGGATGCTAAGAAACTTGGCAGTGCTGTAGTTCTGCGCTCTCAGGAGGCCTGGGGATGCGACTGAGGGTAGTCCTTGAGGAGCAAGTCTGGAAAGTAGGCTGCCGAGGCAAGAGCAGTAGGGTCTTCTCCCAAAGCAGGAATGTGTCCCCTGTCTGCAGCAGGAATGGCAGGTCTCAGAAGTGTCTGTTTCCAGTGGGTCTCAAAAGCAGAAGTCATTCCCTCTTCCTTGTCCAGTGAGAGGTCCTTCAGAGTCTGACTGACAATCGAGAGAATCTCCCCTCTCCCCATCTGGCCAAGAGCCAGAATAACTGATGTGCTTGCTCTGCCCATCGGTTTATAGGAGTTCTGAGGACTCTGCTGGGTTAGATGTGTGTATGCAGATGAGGTGAAGAATAAGGACCAATCAGGAGAGGACTTATCAGCTCCGGGTGAGAATGCTAAAGCCGTTCATAACTGGGGTGGATTCTCAGACAGATCAGTGACGTTATTTCCTTTGGTACTGTGGTGGTTGCAGGGGCATGGGTACTTGGCAGTCAGGACTGGGGGAGGGGGATTGACAGTGCGCACCGGGATCTTTGCACCTGTTCCTGAGCAGCCAGAGGCTGTCCTACTGCGGCCACCGGCTCCGATAGTTGTGAGGGCTCCTCCTACGCCATCTCACCCTCACATTAAGACAGCTGATTCTCCAGTCAGCTCCTTGCCTTGCCCTTACTTCAAGAATGGAGTGGGTGGGCTGGCAGTGAAGGGAAAAGGAAGGGGGGGGCTGTCGATTGCCACGCAGGAGCAGTTTAAGCCAGAGAGTGAGGGCCCAGCGGGAGAGTGGATACAGAATGTCAACCAATCAAGAGAGGCTGGCAGTGTTCTCAGCAGGCTTCAAGATGCCCAGCCAAGGCCACAGGTCACAGCTCCACCCAAGGACAGCCCCCAGAGCGAGGGTGCAGATCTGTGAAGGGTAGAGCTGTGAGTTCCCCTTCTCCGGGCGGGTCTCTAGGGCTGGGGCAATCCCTCCATTCTTGCAGTTGAAGCTGCAGATATTGACTTCTCCAAGGGGCTTTCTCTGGAGAGTCTCCAAACCATCATCCATTCATTCATATTTTATGTGCAGGGGTGTTTTTGACTGCGTGTTATGTTTCTGTACCACGCGGTGTCTTGAGCCCTTGGAGGCCAGAAGAGGTTGTCCAGACCTCGAGGATTAAAGTTACAGATAGTTGTGAGCTGCCACGAGTGTGCAGGAAACTGAAGCAGGCCCTCTGTAGAGCCACCAGCTCCTAACTGCTGAGCCGTCTCCCCAGCCCTCCAATAAGTCTTGTGTGTTCTTCCTTCCTAGAGTACCTTAGCAGTCTCCCACCCCCTTCAGCTACCTGAACTGTGAGAAGCTCTTGGGCAACCTGTTACATAGATGCAGATAAGCCCTGATTGGCTGTGCGTACACACAAATGAGGTGCAGACTGGACCCAAGCAGGCAGCAGCTCTCAAACCCGGAAGGGAAGGGCCTCATTTGAGTCAAATGCTGTCACCCTTCCTGCCACAGGGTAGAAGAGAAGCAAGTGCTGTGCCACTGAAGCCCCCACTGTTACCTGTGTAAGTTCTTCCCCAACAAAACACCCATTTGTCGTTTATCTCGGGTTAGTGAACTCATTATCCCATTTGTCGTTTATCTCGGGTTAGTGAACTCATTATCCCATTTGTGGTTTATCTCGGGTTAGTGAACTCATTATCTCCCACCTTCCTTCCCGTTGTCTGCAAGATGCAGAGCTCTCCACTCCCTCTCCAGCACCGTGCCTGCCTGCACGCTGCCATGTCCCACTGTGATAATAATGGCCCGACCCCCTGAAACTGTAAGCCGCCGCCTCCATTAAGCGTTTTCCGTTTGAAGAGTTGCACTCGTCCTGGTGTCTCTTCACAGCAATAGAAACCCTCACTAAGATAGGGAGGAGATTAGATGTGGCCCACAAGGACTTTAGTAGTTTTGTGAAAAGAGAAAAGACCCAAGGTGGCACACTCGATGAGCTACCCCGTGTCATGTTATGATGGAAAGAGGGGCCCTCACCAGAGCCTGGCACAGGCCAGGGCCGTGCCTTCAGCTCTGTGAGCTAAGTAAACCCCAACCTTTATCAGCTACCCAGTTTCTGCTGTTTGCTATAGCAGTGGAAATACAAAGACATATCCCTTCTGACAAATGCTACTGGTCACAC